CATATATATATATATACACATATATATATATACATATATACATTTTTTATAGGTGATGGAGTACCTGATTGGTGGAGATGTAAAATCACTTCTTCATATTTATGGGTACTTTGATGAAGACATGTCTCTAAAATACATCTCAGAGGTCGCACTCGCTCTGGATTACCTTCACAGACACAGCATTATTCACAGGTATATTCACAGGAGAATTATGAGTAATTCTTAGTCTTTTGTTTATCAAAATGACATCCTTTTTTGTCATTTGATTCAGGGACTTAAAACCAGACAACATGCTCATCTCAAATGAGGGTCACATTAAGCTCACCGACTTTGGGCTCTCCAAGGTTAAACTTGACAGGGGTATGTTTTTTTTTGTAACAACCAAAAATGTTAAAATACTTTGTCTTTATTGTGATTTTAACAAACTTTTCCTTCCCCACCCTCCAGAACTAAACCTGTTGGACATTTTAACCACACCTTCGTTGGTGAAACCTGAGAAAGATTATTTCAGAACACCTGGTCAAGTTCTGTCACTGATAAGCTCTCTTGGTCTTGTGAGTAGATTTGCACAATCATTTAATTTGTATATTACAATTTACATGGCTCAACAATAAGGTTTTTTTTTTTTTGTCCCGCTGTCCCTGATTTCCACCTAGTAAATCCAGCTTTAATTTGATTAATAAATAGCTGATTAAAGATCAAATACCTATTTTAGTAGCAAGTTTTTATCTTTAAAAATTTCAAATAAAAGAGCTATAATTGTAACTTATTTATATATATAAATAATATAATAAATAAATAAACACACTTTTTTGGATAAACTGGAATACAGTGGTACATTAATGATTTGTGTATAATTTTCCTGAAAATTAACTCATTTTGACTGTATATAATTAACTCATTTTAACTGAAGCTTTCAAGACTGTCCAAAGTCATTCTTGCTGTTTGGACAAAAACATCATGTCAGCTAGCTAACGTTACTTTTGTGACATTTAAATTTAGTATCTACAAAACTACACTGTCCTTCAAAAGTTTAGGGTCGGTGCATTAAATTGATCAAAAGTGACAGTAAAGACATTTACAATATTACGTAAGATTGGTATTTCAGTAAATGCTGTTCTTTTGCATTTCTATTCATCAAAGCATCTTGAAAAAATATTAGAATGATTTCTGAAGTGACACTGAAGTCACTATCATACCGTCATAGTAAGTTTTTATTATTTTTTTTAATTTGTTGAAAGTTGTGAGCTCATTACAGAAATGATCAGTGTATCACGAAAAAAATTAAATGAATAAAAATCAAATTTTCCAAGTTATAAAAAAAAATGCACAAACCTGATGTTCTGTTAACTGGCCCGAAACTCTCTCACACTGACAATTGGTCATCCGTTTTGTTTAGCCCTGCTATATCATTAAATCAACATGTCCACAACATGTTTGAAACAGCTTGTATAATATGTCATATTTTGACTTGAATTGGCAGAATACTCCAGTGACAGAGAGCAAGGGTCACAGCAGCACAGTGTTTGGCAGCCCCATGTCCTGTGGAAAAGTCAAGCAGAGGAATAGTTCTCTGTGTTCGCCTCTGCTGAAGAGACGGGCTGATCACCTGAATTCACCAGTATGCACAACTCGAGTTCTAGGTACGTGTCAGAATAATGTGCATTGACAGTCTATCATTGTTTTTGCTCTAGTAGAACAATGTAAAGCGTAACATGCCATATTCTCTAGGATCCAACTGTGTGTTCAGTCCGGGCCTGCTGGCTAGAAGTTTGACACCAAGGCTGATGAAATCAAGGAAGAGATTTGAGACGCTGAGTGTTGGGAGTGCCCACTCATGCCTGTTACCATCCACTACTGATTCTGAAGACTGTGTCAGCCCGATGTGGGAAGATGAGCAGGTTTTGTATCAGCATTACTGTATTAGAAAGAGCTGGTTCATATAGAGCATTGAGCAATACTATTTTGTCTACTTATGTTAAGAAGAGATGTACTAAAAACTAGCTATAATCAATCATTTCAAATGAATTTAGGCAACACAACATTATAACGTACAGTGTGAAAAATGGATGTTCACTTTGAGCAGGTCCTGAATTTCGTTTTGGAAAATTCCCCCTTTAGGTGGCTCTTTTGGGGGATTTTTTTATTTTATTTGAGGGGAAGTTAGGGGATTTTTTAGACATATTTTTAAACTACAATCATCCAACCTAATTGTTCGTCACCCAGTGTATGTACAGTGGGTACGGAAAGTATTCAGACCCCCTTAAATTTTTCACTCTTTGTTATATTGCAGCCATTTGCTAAAATCATTTAAGTTAATTTTTTTTCCTCAATAATGTACACACAGCACCCCATATTGACAGAAAAACACAGAATTGTTGACATTTTTGCATAATGAGGAAAAAAAATTAACTTAAATGATTTTAGCAAATGGCTGCAATATAACAAAGAGTGAAAAATTTAAGGGGGTCTGAATACTTTCCGTACCCACTGTATGTTTTGAGGAAGATACCTTGATTTCAAACTCTAAATTGAATTTATTTGAACTAAAAAAGACAAGTAAACAGTCAGTAATAAAATAAGAATTGCTAAATGACAAGCAATGGCACAAACAAATACAATAAGATACAGATAAAATTATTTTTAGGTAAAACAGTAATATTCATGTACAGAAATACCACAGAAACTGAATCATCTGTTTAACTTTAAAATAACACTGGCTAGTCTTCAATGCTGTCCTGCAGACATAGTCACGATATGTGACATATAATATGCCTCTATTATGGGTAATGAAAGGTTCATATTTTGGTTTTGCAACCCTCTAAATCACGAGTAAATCTTCACTCTGGGCGACTAAATGATGTCTAATAGTAGCCAATGGCTAATAAATTCTCAGATTTTACTCGCCAGTGTGTGAGTCGGAGGCTGAGTATATGATTAGCACAGATATATTTTCACTCACAGAACACTCTGACTGAGCGCTTCAGTTGCACTTTCCCTCAAGCGATCTGTGATATTTATCATTTCATCTCATCAATTGCCAAGGTGTCCGTAGAGGGTTGTTTTGGGAGACCCCAACAACAGGTTGACATGCATGTAAGGTCAAAAAACATTTTCATTGTGTTATAATATGCATTTATTGTTTACCTATTTGCTCAACAACTCCCAAACGATTCGTTTAACGATTCATTTTTCCAGATATTTTTCAGTTCATCTGAATGGATGCGCAGCGCACCTGTGTTTGTGTATTTGGCGTAACGTAAACTCTAGTGTGAAGGCGCACGACTCGCCGTCGCTTTCTCTCACGCGCAAAGAGCGAGAGCGAGTGAGAGTCTTACATAGCATGCAGAATTGATGCGCTACATGTAAACGATATACTTTGTTGTATTTTCCTGTAAAAATAACAG